GAGAGGGTTTTCAGGAAAAGGCTTCCACTGATGCCACATGTAAGCTTCACCTTCATACCAAGCTAATTTATCTTCCAAGTTGCAGTCATTTAAAGTGCTAGATCTGCCCAGTGATGCAGAAAGAGTATCCAATCTGATCTCCATTTCTTCCTTCCTCCTTGTGCTAACACTACTCACTTTCTTTTCTTGGGACTTGGTTAATTTCAAACAAGAAATCAATGTGTCATCTTCATCTTCTGAATGACAAAGAAATGGGTTAAAAACTATGATTATAATTCTTCCCTTTCTATAAGAGAAATAAATGAAGCGCACTGGATAAACCAAGAAGTCATTCAATTTTACAAAATTATTTACAGCAGCATTTATTTAAAAAGTAAGTTATTTTGCTATACAAAATTTTTTGTTTTATAAAAGTCTCATTTTTCTGACATGTTTGAAACCATAACTATTGATTAAAGTCTATCTCACTGGAATGAATGGAGGCCACATACAAATAATATGCTGAAAGATATTTGAGAAAAAAATACAATTTTTTTAAAAATGCACCTTTATGTTTCTATTATTAAATATGTTTAATTTTAAGGTCATGTGTATAATAAAGAATTATAAGGAAACAAATACAATTATATGCCTTACATAAAAGAATGAAATCTCAGTGGGTATGGACTGAAATCCTACTGGCATTCTGAAATTGTCTATTTTAATACCAATCTGCCATGAGATTTATGCATGCAGTGTGTCTCATAGTGAAATAGTTTTTAAAAAGCAAGAATGACAAAACCAAAAAAAAGGCATATCTGTAATACTATAAAGTTCATTTGTGAGATCTATATTTACACAATGTGGCAAAGACTCTGATGAAATTTCTAGTAATATAGAAAACAGTTACAGAAAATAGAAATATATATCACCCAGAGTCAATTGCTCTATGTCATGGAATCCCTTTAAATCCAAATGTTTAATGAGTATTTTAAAAAGAGTTTGATTAATTAAGACATGCTATTAAAAATAAATAAATGAAAATCAAAGTTGCATGCCATGGACACACCAATTTGCTATGCTTACATCGAAATTCAAATATATGGTTTTCTATGGCCAAAGAATGGGAACAGTGGACACTGCTGAGCCTCCTCCATTGCTCTCTCTCACTCTGTCTCAGAGCCTGGTCTTGAAGGGAAGGAGAAATGGGGTGAGGCATAAATACGGGGTAAAATTCAGGAATAGATGGGGATGTCTGTTTCAAAATAACTTGGCAATAACAACAATCCTCAATGTTTAATGATTATCTTAAGACCTTATCAAAATGGGCTTCATTAATATATGCTTCCTTAGTTCTCTCTCAAAGGAATTGTAACAGCTTATTGAGTTCTTACTTACGGAGGTTTATTAATGTCGGTTTCACCTCATCCAGACTCTGCACTCTGGCTTTCTTAGTCCAAACCAGTTTCTGTAGTCGCTTTAATGTCCCCATTGATTCCACAGGGTCACCGCCCAATTTTATGGCCTAGTACAAACACAGCTCAAGGTAAAGACAAATTATTCTCCACAAAAGATTAAATATAAAATATGTTGAGATCATAAATGTGGAAAAATTAATAATGTGACCTTAAAACCTGAAGCCTGAGTCAATTTAAGCAATAGCTTGAAAGCACACCACATTTTTTGGGTTCAAAATTGTGAAATACATTACAACTGTCCAGTCATACTAAAGCAGAGTGGTTTTACCAATTTTTTTTTTTACTTCGAAATACAGCAAAATGGATTGAATTCAGAAATATCTATAAATGACTCACTCCTGCCCACTGTGAAACAGTGGAAAAAAACAAGATCTTTGCAGTGTAATATAGATGGAACAAGAGGTTCAAAGTTGCTATTTGCTAGTGTTGGAATAGACGGATAGTATGCAAAGTCTACCTGCTAATATTAGAGAAAGAAGAAGGTAAATTGTCTTCATTTTCTTTTTAGAAATTTGTGGGCAAACAGCATTTGTTTCAAGTATGAAAATTTTTCAAATAACATACTTAAAAAAAGAATAGCCTCTTGCTTTGTAGAAGATATGCACTAAGTGAAACAAAAGATAGCCACAGCATACCACATTATGTTTTAGTATATGTGTCACTTGTTTATTGTGGCAAAATATGGATGAAATATAATTAACATTGCATTAAAGACTCTTGTTTTCTTTAAAAAGATTCAGGAATGTTTCCCACTAGTTTACGGTTGAATTTGTACTTATATAGCTTTTACTTATTATCTTAAGGATAGTTCCTCTTAAGGATTTCAAAATACTTTGGAAATTAACTCTTTGTGTGCTAAGTTTTACATGAGTTGATAAAATCATTGTGCTCTGTTGAATTCACTAGATGTGATATAATACATATAGGAATACTTTTTCATCCAGAAAGTTCTACTCAGAAATATTTCTCCACCTGCTTTTGTCTCATTCTTTCCATTGAACAGCTGATAAATAACATCTACAAAGACACTGCAATTTTCAAAAGGTGAATATTGCCTCCTCATTAGTGTTTGAATGAGACATTTATAACAATGCTTTCCAAGCCTTTGAAAGAGACTATAAGCCCAAATAAATGTTTGGAAGTAAAGAATATCTGGCATGCAACATTTCCAATCCTTATACTCAGCTATTATCTTTGGTCTTTATGATAGACTTTGAACAACCAGCATAAACTTGTTGTTCTGTCTCTGCAAAATAGCACTTACGTAGGAAATGTGACGTTTTTTGTCAGAGGAAGCCATACCTTTTTGCATTAAATAAATGGGAAAATATTGAAATCATTTTAATCTTTCAGAAAGGACTGTGATGAGATATGCTTAGAAACGCAAAATCTTCCCTCTCTTTCCAAAGGCCATGCTCTGTTCAACACAATTTCTATTGCTTACTTTTTTGTATTATTTCTCAGTGTTTCTTTTAGTGCTTTCTGAGTTACTTGGTTTTATAGACGCTGTACAACTTAGGAAAGGTCGTCTTCTACTCTTTAGACCCTTTCAGAAATAATAAGATGACATTGCACAACCATTTTTTCTTTGCTGTGCTTCTACTCTTACGTCAACTTCTTGTTACGGCCAAAACTTAATTGTTCCACTGAAACACTGGCAACAAAAATCACCTTCTCTTTTCCCTTAGTGAAAAAGGCTTTAATGTGGAGAAAGGTATTGTATACCAGGGAAACGGAACTTTGTATAAATGATTTTCCCCCAAGAGGAACTAAAGCATTTGGAAGGTATCTGAATTCAGATAAGTAAGATCTCATGGCCTAGAGGTTTTAAAACAAACTGACCTTTCATTATTTTGTTCACACTCTATTATAGCCTTTTAAAATCATGATATTGTTATTTTTTGTATCTTTATTCACTTTGAGTTACTAGACATCAGTCTACTGCATTTTATTTATGTTTTTTAAATCCTATGAGTCTAGATTGTACATGGCTTGATAAATATGTACTGAATGTAAATACAATCCTAATTTTATACATGTTTTATGTACACAATGGAGTATCCATAGTACATTTTTGATACTAGACTCATTACTTTCTAATAGCAAAGTATTTCTGGACAACCTCCTCTTGTTAATAGGTACTATATATCCAAGGGATGAAATTTAGAGTTAATATTATTATAAAATATATAGAATCATTAAAACTATGTATTAAAAAGAAAATGTATTCAGATTAAAAATACAGCCAGGTGCGGTGGCTCATGCCTGTAATCCCAGTACTTTGGGAGGCCGAGGCGGGTGGATCATGGGGTCAGGAGATCAAGACCATCCTGGCCAACATGGCGAAACCCTGTCTCTACTAAAAACACAAAAATTAGCTGGGTGTGGTGGCATGCACCTGTAATCCCAGCTACTTGGGAGTTTGAGGCAGGAGAATCGCATGAACCCAGGAAGCAGAGATTGCAGTGAGCCGACATTGCACCACTGAACTCCAGTCTGGGCGGCAGAGTGAGACTCCATTTCAAAAAAAGAAGAAAGAAAGAAAAAGAAATCCTCTAAAATATTTTTCAAATGATAACACTATTTATCTCATTTCTCTTATCTATTACCTACATATTTGTACTGAATGTGATTATGTTTTACAGTAACATGACTTTTAAATTCTAAATGTGTTCTAAGAAGATTGACCCATAAATTAAACCTAGCATTCAACAAATCAATAAACTTTTATTGAGCACCTACTATATGCCAAGCACTCTCTCACATTCTGGGGATATGGCATAGAGGAAGTAATATGAGATCACTGTTTTTATCAAGTCTAATTCTAGAGGGACGTGATGGGTGATAAACATATAAACAAGTATATAAACATAAGAATGTGACATAAGAAATGCTATATTAATAATTAACAGGGTGATTGAGTGAGGATGCAAAAGGAGGGTTTATTAATTTACTGATCAGAAGGAACTTCACTGAAGATACTAAAGCTGAGGCCTGAATGATGAGAAGGAACCAGATATGTGAAGACTTAGAGAGGGTTTAGAACTCAGAAGTTGGTCAGAAAGAATATTTCCCCTGAGACTTAAATAAGAGAAAAAGTCAGCCAGGCAAATAGCAGAGAGAAGAGAAGTCTTGGAACACAATACAGTTTGCAAAGGTTCTAAGGCTGGAATCCCTGGAAGAATGCTTAGTACGTGCCCATGAAGGGAAAGAAAGGAAGAGTACCAAGAGATGAGCCCAGAGAATAACAGAGATCCTTCCAGGAGGCTTCTGTAGAGCAGATTGAAGAATATGGAATATCTAATCAGAGGATGACACAACTTGGTTTACAGTTTTGTTCCTCTCTCTCTATTGAATTTTGATTTTCCATTTCAGTGGACTCTTCCCAATAGCATTCAAATGTGCCTTATGTCATTCATCTTTACTTCACCATCTTTTTCTTTACCACTTTTTCTATCCTAGGCATTTGTCTCAAAAACGTTAACTATGTATGCTTTCTGTAATTCTATTAACTTCTCATCCTTTTAATCTATCTCATCTATCAGCTTTCATCTTACCATTCCCTTTAAATTGTCCTTTTGATCTAATGAGCCATTCTTAAACTCCTTTACTACTTGACATTCAGCAATGTCGACCACAGTGACCTTCTGGAAACACTCTCTTTTCTTGGCTTCTGTGACACCGTGTTCCTCTGATTTTCCTTTTACTTTTTTTGGCCCTTCCCTCTATAACTCCTATATGCTGACACCTTTCTTTTCTTGAAATTAAATTTTGAAATTACTTAAGGATTAATCCTGGCCTTTTATCTGATATCACCATCTTTCTCTTCTCTTGTACATGCATGCATACACACCACTTTTAATACCACTTATGTGCTAATGACTCCCAATTTCTTTCTTTCCCCAGGCCTCTCTGCAGAGCTTCAGACTCACATATCCAGCTATGTATTTAAAACAATTTTTAAGCACAATCAGAACTGACCTCTAGACCTATGCTCCGAATATGATGCTCATCCCATCTTCTTCAACTCAGTGAAGGCCGTCTTCATCCACCAAGTGCACATTCCATAACTAAGAGTTTGGCCTAATGTATCTTGAATGTTTCTTTTTCTCCATCTCTGTTGTTACCAATCTAGTTGAATTTTCTTTCATCGATACTACTGTCAAGTCCCTAATTGATTTTCTTTTCACTTTTGTCTTTCTAATTTAGAGTAGTCTTTGAAAGATGTAAATTTCCATCGAACTGGTAATTATATGTGAATGTAAATGTAATTTTTCATATGTATATATTTAACATGTATATACTATATATTTCATATATTTATGTCAAAAATAGAAATATCTTTTAGTTCATTTTGCTCACGCTTCCTTAAATAATATAAAAATTTTGTTAGAAGTACTTGGTTAAATATATCTCATTTTCTGACACTTTGCTTGAATATTAATATTAAAGAATAATTTTTAGAAGATAGCATCACTGAATTATTGAACTGGATTAGTTCTACAATCATATTTTATGAGTTGGGATGGAAATTATTAGACATCTAGTCTACCAGAGTATATAAAAAATGAGAGAACTCAGAGAAGTTAAGTGGCTTACTCAAGGAAAGATAATTTATTAATAATAGAGTTGGGATGGAAATAAAATATTCTGACTTTTAATCCAATGTTCTTTCTTACAAGATCTTTAAATGCCAGCATAATTACTAGTTATCTAGTATTGACAGTGAAATTAAGACCAACCAAATTCAGGGAATTTATTTGGAGGTTAAATATGACTTTCCAAAACAGAGGATAAGTATCAGGTAGACACTTTCAGATTTATAGGCCTATCCTCTTAAATATACATAATTAAGAAGGAAATATATAAATATATGTGTGTGTATGTATGTATATACCTACACATATTTGCTGGAAAGGCATTTAAACCTTTTAAATCTCTCCTGATTTTATCACTTCCTTTTACAGAAGGAAAATTTAGACTTATGGAGACTAACCAAACCCAGATTGCATATCTGTCTGAATTATGTCCTCTTCACTCCACTAATGAAAAGGTAGCTGAATAACATGTCAGACTTGAATGAAGCAAAAACCAAAACAAAACAAAACAGAAAACACTTTGTTCTTACTTTTCTTCTTAATTTCTGATTTAGAAAAATTTTCCTCTCTAGTGTCATATTTAACAAGTATTCAGATAACAAATCCTAATAACTTGATGTCTATCTCACATAATTTCTTCAACAGGAGAAATGGAGATTTTAAAAAATTGATATTTTGGTTAAACTTTAAAGAAAGCTATAATGGAGACTAAACCTTCAAGTAGTTTCATATGTATGATATTGACAGTTTTCTCTAAGTTTCCTGGTCTTATGGCTCGTTGTTTCATTATTAAAACTGTGCCAGTGTATGCACAGGGCTTAGAAATTTTTTAATTCTCACATGTATTAAGTGAAAAACCAGAATGTAAGTTTGTATAAAAAGTATAAATACCACTATATGTGGCCTTTTTCTTTCTTTATGTACTCTACTCTTCTTAGTTTTCTACAATGAAGATGTGTTAGTTCTATAATTAGCATAATTGGGAGAAATTTTTTTTTTTTTTTTTTTTAAGACACGGGTGTTGGTCTTGCTCTGTCCACCAGACTGGAAGCTGGTGTGCATTTGCACGATAAGAGCTCGCTGTAGCCTTGAACTCCTGAGCTCTAGTGATCCTCCCATCTCAGCCTCCCAAAGTGCTGAGACTACAGGCACGCCCCATCATGCCCAGTAATTTATTTTACTTTATTTTTTGTAGAGATGAGGCCTCACTATGTTGCCCAGGCTTGTCTTGGACTCCTGGCCTTAACCAATCCTCCTGCTTCAGCCTCCCAAAGTGCTGGGATTACAGGCGTGAGCCATCACATGTAGGAAGAAATTCTATAAACTACAAAATGTATTTAGAAGGCACATTTCAATAATCCAATCTATCCTTGCTAAGAAGGACAGAAGTACTCAGTTTTTCTACGGAGAATTTGTTCTTAGCCACTTGAAAGGGAAGGTGCCTAGAGACAGGAAGAAGAGAGCTACTTTCATGTTAAAAACAAAATAAAGAAGAGGTTTTAAATGTTGAATTATTAAACTCCTAAATCTATATCTTCATTTTCTTCTATATAAAAGTGACTAGTCTCTATTCATGACCTAAAAAATATTCTAAAAAGATAATTTTTAGGGTCACAATGATCGATAAATATTTAGAAACTCAATGGACAATAATAAAACCAATGGGATTATGAACTAGAATTGATCAATGCAAACACATGAAAACAAATACATTTCACTTCAGAGGTTTATTTTATTGCTTTCTTGGAACTACAATTAATTTAAAAGATGATTTAAGATAATTTACTTATGCAAATGAAATATTGATTGAAGAAATAATTACAGTTGGTGGGAAAATTGCCATGTTGACGTTGGATATTCATATATCATTGTAATTTTAAAAATTATTATTTTTCAGTGATAGAAACTGAACTTAAACTAAGATTGGATAAGCACTTACAATAAAGCTAGGCAAAATTTTAAGTCATCGAATAGATGAGTAACTGAACGAATTAGTTAACAAAATCAAATATATTCTCCTAGAAGGCTTATAAGACATTTATTTATTCGTTTATCTCATGAGGACCTAATTTATTACTGAGGACCTAATCGATGGGAGGTGCAAAGAAGAATGAAACGTTGTGTCTGCCTGTGATGCACATTGCTTAACATGAATACTAAGAAAAATAGTCATCTGTTTCTGTTCCTGTCCCCCTCACTGCAAGGTGATCTTTTTGGGGTTCTAGTACTGTTTCACACATATCACTTCTTAGAGTCAGTATCATCAATGAATATATTCAATCTGAACAGCTGGCCAAAAATACATCTGGAGGAAAAAAATGATGTGTGTCATATGAGAACTGCAAATAAAATTCAATGATTATTCACAGGAAAGATTGCATAAGGTGGGAATAGGGAGGAGAAATGTTCTTGGCTAGAGGATTAGCAGGTATTTAAGAAGCTAAGCAGTATAATTTAGGATGTCTAACAACGCCATTTATGTAATAGTCTAATTCTACTATATAAACACTAAAACCCTTTCAAGTCCTAATATAATATTCTAGCTCGTCCTTCCTCTCAAGCAGATTTTGACATGTGTAAGTCTGGTCTTGGAACAATGTGCCCTCTGAGAACACAGTAAAAACAGAAATGAGTCTTTCAGAAGCCACACAGGCCCAATTTTCCATAGTGTAATGAAGTCGCAACGTCACGGCCATTTCTCCACTTCAGCAGGGGAAGCCAAGACTGCTTTTTGCTCACTGACCTATAGCTGAGGGTCAGTCTTTGAATGTGGACACACTGCCAAGCTAGCTGGGAGTTGCCAGGGTTACACAAACCAGAGTTGCAAATGGGGGTTGTGTTGATTTAAGAGAAAAGGCCACAGAAGCCACATCTTTCTTACTTCCTGTGTAATATCCTCTGCCCTGAAATTTTGAAGAAGTTTCTAGAACTACTCATAAGAACATTTCTCTTTTTGGGTACACCTCCTAGCTGACCGAAATTTATGAACAATAGGAAATTTAAGAGCCAGTATGCAAATTAATTTTTATTAAGTATCTGTTGGATTTTTAGCAAGAAGATGAGCTATGGATGGAAAATCATACAGTAAAAAAAAACGTTTTTATCTAGTATTTATAATTTCAAATCCACAAGAAATGTTAAGAAAACCTAGAGTAAGAACCTGCCCTTGTGTGCGGACGAATGATTGTTCTGCTTTGAAAATCTGCTCTGTGACTAGCCATGTGAACTTGAGTGAGCCACTTCACCTCTCTGTACTTCAGCCTTTCATCTTTAAATTGAAGGATTGGATCATAGGAATTCATTGTTCCTCACATGTCCTTGGGGACATTTGACTAGATAAGTGTCTTCTTTTGTTACTTTACATAAATTCTTGTGCCTTAGAAAAAATATCAAGGAAAAAGTGGGAATGACCTACTGTTAATCACAGATGATCAGAGCCTGAAGAAATATTCTCTAGTCCAACATTTTACTTTAAAAATGTGGAAACGGAAATGCAGAAATATGAGGTTAGAGGCCTAAGAGCACAGTCGGTAGTAGATCCAATTCCTGCCATCCAGTTCTCTTGCTTGTTTCTAATTAAGGCATTTCATAATCCTCCCAAATGTATAGCTTTATTTTCATCTGAAAGTCCTTTTTGTATTGACTGAGGTTCATTTGTTTGTTTCCCACAGCTCTTTGACATTTAACTAGTCATTAAGAACTTAGATAGCATGTGAAATAGCAAGGGCAGAGCTCAATAAATCTTTTTTAGGGAACAGAAGTAATACTTAAATCACAACTTTCCGTCACCTCTTCCGCCTACCTGGCACAATTTAGACATCTCTTAGACAAAAAGAAAAAAAAATAGTTGAAAAGAAAACTATTATAAAAACTTAGATGTTAATAACATGTTAATAATATTGGGGGAGAGAGAGCTATAAATAAAGATATCAAAACTTTCGTATTCGGCCGGGCGCAGTGGCTCACGCCTGTAATCCCAGCACTTTGGGAGGCCGAGGCGGGTGGATCACCTGAGGTCGGGAGTTCGAGACCGGACTGACCAACATGGGAAACCCCGTCTCTACTAAAAATACAAAATTATCTGGGCCTGGTGGCACATGCCTATAATACCAGCTACTAGGGAGGCTGAGGCAGGAGAATTGCTTGAACCTGGGAGGCGGAGGTTGCGGTGAGCCGAGATGGTGCCATTGCACTCCAGCCTGGGCAACAAGAGTGAAACTCTGCCTCAAAAAAAAAAAAAAAAAAAAAAACAACTTTCGTATTCATACCTACATAAAGAAAGATGATTTACCAAGAGTAGTTATTTGTCACAAAATTACAATTACATTTTGGGAAACAATAGTCAAATAAGTTGCAAACATTAGCTTGTCGTGTTCCGAAACCATCTAGAACAAGAACTACAAATAGGACTTATAGTTGTTTCATATCAATAATGCTATAATACTTGGCGATGTACGTGAATATCCTGGAAATTTGCCAGACCTTCTAAACCATGTCCTTTCCATGAACCTCTGTTTAGCAATATCTGAACAAGGAAAAGAAGGCAGTTGATGTGATTTTAATATCATAAGGGACTGCTGGCACACAGAGAGACTTCTTAAAAAATGGTTTTATTATATTTCATTCTATGGACTATAATCCAATTAATTAATTGATTTCCTGTTATCACACACTCATACTGTTTCCAAGTTCTCTTTTTTTAGCAATGCTACAATGATGTACACTTCTCTCAGAAACATGAGATAGCACCTATTTCCCCCAAGTCAGAAGATAATGCTTTTTAACATTATAAATTTTTTCCTATCTCTGGAAAAGTTGCTAAATTTTATGGAAAATTTTTTATATAACAACCTATCCTTCTTTAAAGGAAATGCTTTATGGTCCTTTCAGTTCAGAAAACCACTCAATAAGGACAAGTCTCTTTTTATATTCTTTAGAGAGTCTTCCATGTGGCAGCTGAAAACAAATGTAATAAAGAACCATAGAAAACAGTGCTTGTGGCATTAACATGATTGGAAAAGAGATGGGAAATCCACTTCAATAGTTATATCAGGGAAGAAAAGTCTCACCATTTCATCAACAGTAGGTTCAGCTTGTCTTTGATAATGAAATGGACTCCAGCATTCAGTGGTCACCTTAGAAATTAGAAAAGGAAAAAGAGACAACTAATGTTAACATTCTTTAAAAAACAAAACAAAACAAAACTCCACAAAGCTACCAAACTAATTGGGAAAGGATTCATTGTCTTAATTAGAAATAATTATCTTGTTATCAAAGTACACTGATTAATGTTTCATCAGTGACTTCATCTGCATATATACACATATATAGACAAATATGGAATATGTGTAGGTATATACAGTATACACACATTATATATCCATATATGTGTGTGTGATATGTGTATGTGTCTATGTGTATTAGATTCACTCCTCAGCCCTCACATAGGGCAATCCCAATCCATGATCTCACATTTAGAAGAGTTGGTGGAAAGAGGGGATCAGGAAAGTTTTGTGAAACAGCCCACTGTAATTTCTTAGTGCTCTACATTAAGTATATAATGGGCATCCGTTTTAGAAATGCTGATTGAGTTTAAACTCAAACCAAATATACATTTGGAGTAATATCTCAAGTTATAGTGTGGGATATCTTTTATTACATTTGGCGCCTGTCAGTGTAACCTTCTTACTCTCAGCTTCTACTCATTTTGAAAACTTTATGTACCTGATATCAAACAATTTCTACCTAGGGCACTTCAGGACTGCAGCAAAGGGCATTTGATGGAGTCTATAAAAGGTAATAAAAGGGTGCTGTGGTCTGAACATTTGTGTTGCTCCCAAATTCATATACTGGAATGTAATACGCAAAGTGATAGTGTATTTGTCCATTTTCACATTGCTGTAAAGAAATACCTAAGACTGGGTAATTTACAAAGAAAAGAAGTTGAGTTTGCACACAATTCTACAGGCTGTACAAGAAACATAGTGGCTTCTGCCTTGGGGGAGGCCTCAGGAAGCCTCCAGTCACCGTGGAAGGCAAAGGGGGAGCAGACATCCTTACGTGTCAGGAGCAAGAGCAAAAGAATGAAGGGGGAGGTGCTACACACTTTTAAACAACAGCTCTCATGAGAACTCACTTATTATCATGAAAACAGCACCAATAGGGTAATGCTAAACCATTCATGAGAAATCCAATCCCATGATCTAATCACCTCCTACCAGGCCCCACCTCCAACACTGGGAATCACAATTCAACAGGAATTTGGGCAGGAACACTTATCCAAATTATATCAGATAGTATCAAGGGGTGGGACTTTTGGGGAAGTAACTAAGCCATAACGTTTTTGCCCTCATGAACGGAATTAGAGCCCTTATAGAAGAGGTTGAGGGGAGTTGCCTTGCTCCCTTTTTGAAGCAGACACTGAATCAGCTGGTGCCTTGTCTTGGACTTTTCAGCCTCTAGAGCTGTGAGAAATACATTCCTGTTGTTTACAAATTATCCAACCTAAGGTACTTTGCTATAGCTGCCTGCAAGAACTAAGACAAAGTGATTTCAAATTTTGTTCTGAGGGGAGTCTGCAATGAGATTAAGAAGAATGTAGAGACAGGGCAATATGAATATTCATTAAACATCTTGAGAGAGCATGCTCCTTTATTTAAATATTTATGACAATCACAAGAAGTTTTATTATCACTATTTTACACATCTGGAAATTGAAGCACAGAGAGTTTAAGCAGCAAGTTTAAAGTCCAGTGTTTTTACTCATATAAAGGTAAGGCAAGTTTGGTTTCCATAAAGTCTAAACCCCAGCAGAATTCTGGAGTTCTAGCTCATAAAATGTAGCCAAAGAACAAGAGTTTTGAAGCAGAAAACTGACAAAGTAGCTGAAGTGACTGAAACAAGTGCCAAGCGGTTGGATTTTATTTTTGCCACAGTGTGTAGCCTGTGGGTTCTTAAAGGACTGGGCCCATATGTTGAGGTTTGTTACATTTTAAGGATGCTACCTAGTACCCAGGGCTTGACACAGTATATAAGAGTGCATTTACTAGCCATTTTCTGGGTTGCAAAATTCCTTTTTAAAAATGAGTGAGAATGATGCTAAGGAATGCCAAATAAGTCCTCTCAACCTTTTAGGGCAATCCAAAAGGAAAACACCCATACATACGTGGAGTTCATTCATAAAAATCATTTGTTAGAATCAAGTATTTCCTCTTTTTAAAATAAAAGTTAAATGTAGAGTTGCTTAAACTCTTTTTTTTAAAAGTGAAAGTATACTTATCATAAATGCAGTATAACTTTGGATAAGGAAATGACAAAATCCAATATGATCTTAATTTTATTTCACCAGAAACAAGAGATTTGGATTCCATGTTAACATCCTATGTTTCTTTAATACCGACAGAAGCCACTCTTGAAAGTCATTTACTGTTAAAGAGAGGAGATTAGATTTTTTTTTTCAAGATAACAAAATACAGCCCTATATTCTTTCTACCTGCAAAATAAGTTATAATCTTGCCCTTTGGAAGTAGGAAACTTCTCCATCTATAACCTCAAACTAGTATAGTTCTAATGGTTTTAAAATATGCTCACAAATTCTTTTACAGAAGAGGTCTTCAGAAGGTGCATCATAATACTGCCCCCCCACCGTTAGTGTGAGCTGGATTTAGTGAGTTGCTTCTAACACACAGAATAAAATGGAAGTAATGATGTTTAACTTCTGAAATTAGGTCTTGAAAGGAATTGTGGCCTCTTCTTGTTCTGTGTCTTAGATGCTCACTCTGGGGAAACCAAATGACATTCTATGAAGACACTCAGCCTCATGGATAGACCAAAGTGGCAAGGGACCTATCCCTGCAGTCAACTCCCATCAAAAAACTGAGGTCACCTGCCTACAGCCATGAGAGGGAGTTAGCAACAAACCTTTCAGCCCCAGTCAAGCCTTCAGATAACACCTTGAGAGACACTAACCACCTGCGATTATAAACACATGAGAGACTCTAAGCTAGAAATGCCCAGCTATACCACTTCCCAACTCCTGACCCACAGGGACTGTGAAAAAATTTTTTTGTTTGTTTTAAGCCCCTAAATTTTAAAGTAATTTGTTATGCATCAATAGATATGTAATACGATAGTTAAAAGTCATACAATGGATAAGAAAGTACTTGAAATAAGAAACATTGATCAAGACACAATATCATTATTTCATCATAATATAGTCACTTCATACATAGACTATCATTTGGTTGACACTGTCATTTTGAATTCTTTTTGTTTGTTTGTTTTCTACCTTTTAGATTGTTCACACTTTTGTTTAGAACTGCCTCAAATCTGTCTGATAAAACCTAGTGAAAGACCTGTCTCTCCTGCTTGTTAATATATGACAGCATAACCTTAAATTATTTATCCAGTGACCCAGTGTTGTGACCTCGGTTAAGCTCATGAAAAATTGGTCTTGTTTTGTCCATTCTACATGCATTTCCCAAAAATTGTGTGCTATGTTGGATATAGTTTTAATTCTGTATATAGCCAATGGGATGTGTATAGCTAATATTTTATTTGTTAGTAATCCAATTTTCATCTTAAGGATTAAATGACTAACTCTAAATGCTGTTTACACTACATGAGAGCTGAAGGAGACTAGTCTAGTTTGTGCAATAAGAGGTGAGTCTAGACACTGTTTAACTGTGGACACAGTTTTGTCTGGTTGCTTACATAGAGCAGAGTTCAGCATTAGCAAAAGTGACTGTTTTAAAAATAAGGTATCAGGAATGTACTCAGCTTTGAGGAAGAGAATAACCAACAGTGGTTGCTTAAACAAGTATGGGGCTTATGTTTCTGTAAAATAGAAGTGCAGACATAGAGTTTCCAACCTGGGTGCAGCTTCTCAAAGATGTCCTCAGTGAATCAGGCTCTTTGCATGTGCCTGCTCCACCGTCTTTCATGTCTGCCTTTGCCTCACGGCTGGAAGACAGCTGCTGATTTACCAGGTATTACATCCAGCTCCAGGCAGGAAAGAGAGCAAAAAACAAAGCTTTGTCCTTATGAGACTCTGTCTTATTTTTTATTTTCCAGAAAAAGAAAGTCCTCCTCAGGAATTTCTGACTGTATTTCATTGGCCAGAACTGGATTCCATGACCACCCCTAACTACCGGGTAGGCTGAGAATTCAAATGCTGAAAATTGCAGTCTCCATAGTGAAAGACATGAAGAAAGAAATTGATTGAAATGGGTTAATTAATTAAATTAGCAACACTTTTCCTCAGTGAAGGAGCTCAGAAAGAAAATGTTTTGGTTCAGTCCTGGGTACGGATGCTGGACAGCACTTAATATCACCAGCACTGAAGGTAATAAATATTATCTCTCTTTTCTATCATGAATATGAATGATACTCTGAAGGCTGAATGCAACCTAGGAATTTACGTGAGAAATGAGGCATGCAACACTTTTGAAAATATATTAGCCCAAAGTCTGTATTACTGCATATTTTATTCGCCTTTTAATATGCTACAAAAGGTTTGAGCCATCAACTGAATGCTGCCAGAGAAGAACAAACAAGTACAAGAATGCAAAAATAAATGCTGGGAGTCAAGTTTTCACAAGATGTTCTTTATGGTTGGTATGATCACAGTGCTAAGCAGACTGATTTGCTTCTAGCTCTATCCATCAGCACTTCTTCCATAAGCCTGGTTCTCCAGGAAGTTTATCCCAGGCTATCTATGCAGAAATGCATATGGGGCAAAGTGGGTACTGGAGAAAGCGTTCCCTGAACTCCTTCTCTTGCCCCTGCTACCTGATTCTTTGTAACTTCTTCCATGCCTGAGATCTTCTTTTCTATTTTGAGAACATGAAGGAAACATGTTTGCTTAAGTACGTTCTGATTAGGATTTAAATATTTAATTCTGATCATTTTTAGTGTCTGAAATATATTTTGTAGGCATGGTCAAATGATAATTATAACTATAAAATGTTTTACATTCTACAAACTTTATCCCATGTTACTAATATTCAGGAAATGATCATAGGAAAATATTTACACTAGGATACTGTTCAATATTTTAACTGTTTCTATTTATACATAGTTTTAAGAAATTCTACAATGAATTTATATCATCTCCATAATAGGGAACAAAAATCGACTTCACTTTTTCCAGGAGGCTGTTGTCTTCCAAGACCATAATTAAACCAAGTTTGGGTTTATAGAGTTAAAATCATGAGATATCCCATCTCTGAACACATATTCATGGCTATAATTTGGACGTTTGTTGTCTCCAAACTTCATGTTGAAATTTGACCCTCAATATTGGATGTGGGGTGATATGGTTTCATTGTGTCCTCACAAAAACTTTCATCTTGAATTATAATCCCTATAATTCCCACATGCAAGGGCGGGATCAGGTGAAGGTAACTGGATCATGGAGGCAGTTTCCCCCACGCTCCTCTCATAATAATGAGTGACTCTCACGGGATCTGATGGTTTTATAAGCATCTGGCATTGCCCCTGCTCGCACTCACTTTGTCCTGCCACCCTGTGAAGAAGCTGCCTTCTTCTCCTTTGCCTTCCACCATGGTTGTAAGTTTCCTGAGGCCTCCTCAGCAATGGGGAACTGTGTCAATTAAACCTCTTTCCTTTATAAATTACCTGGCCTCGGGTATTTCTTCATAGCGTTGTGAGAGCGGACTAATACATGGGGCCTGATGGCAGGTGTTAGGGTTATGGGGCTGATGGATCCCTCTACAATAGATTAATGTTCTCCCTCAATGGTGAGTTCTCACTCTATTAGTTCTTGCGAGAGCCGATTGTTTCAAAGAGCTTGGCACGCACCTCCCCCTGCCTTGCTTCCTCTTTTGCCATGGAATCTCTGGGTCCCCTTCACCTTCAGCCATGTGTGGAAGCAGCCTGAGACCTTCACCAAATTCAGATGCCCAATCTTGAACTTTTCAGCCATCATAATTGCAGCCCAAATAAACCTTTTTCTTTATAAACTACCCGGTCTTGGGTATTTCTTTATTTTGTGTTTATTATTGTTTCTTTATTTTGTGTTATATTATTGCAACACAAAATGGACTAAGACACTCACCAACTCTCTTGAATTCAAGAGTTTCATGGTTTATGTACTGAACATTGTCACATAAAAATACCACTTCCTAGGCTCCAGTCATGACGATCCAGGTGAACAGGAATATGGCACCAAAAGTCTGCCTTTTTAAGTAATACTCCCGTTGAGTCTGATACAGACAGTTCCCAGGTAGGCTTGGAAAAACACTTATCTGATAGTCATTTGTTCACTGATGGAAGGCCAAATTTCATGCCATAGTCCACTCTTATGCCCACTGACAAGCCACTTTGCTACTCACACCAGCTTCTCCATTTGACAGTGGTTCCCTGTCTTCCCCATCTTTCAACAGATAAATTGCATCTCCTTCTCCTCAGTCACAAGGAGTTAATACATTAATATTTTGCATAATACTCCTTGTTAAACTATTCTGTCATATAGATAAGTGTTTCTTAGTTAAATTCAATTGAATGTCTACTGTGAATAAAATTTAGATAAGACCAGTGCCTCCTCCCAAATGAGGATTTTTAGATTAGATGGCTCCTGCTTGTCTGCCACTAGGTATGAATTCCTTCGGTTTTTAGTGATACACTACATGGCACAATTGAATGGTTACCATTTGGAAGCACCATTTCTTGGCCAATTTTAACCTTCAGAAGAATTGTTCTTAGGGTAAAGATTTATCTTTAACCATTTTCTTCAAAGAAAATGTTACTTTCTTCTTTCCAAGAAACGGGTCTATTTTTCCACTAAAAACCTACAGGAGGATTTCTCTTGGCACAAGGCAGCCTAGGAAGCTTTTCCAGTAAACCAGCTGTTATTTTTCTCCTGGCTATCAGACAATGCTTCACTTAGATATTATATCTGAGGTCTCATCTGAATTTAGGAAAATGAGACTGCTTGTTTCAGAGATAATCTTCCAGCTGTGCTTGTGCAAGTCTCATTAAGTCCTTGAAAGAGTAAGAGAAGGAGGGTGAGGGAGAAAGGGAGAAAAGAGGAGGAGCAATGACAACAAATGAATTTTTAAAAGTATGTCTTAACTATCAGACATAGAGCTACAGTGTTTTAATGACATGTCTCACTGAATCCCATGAAAGTTCTGAGATATTTTTTATAGATGTATTTTACAGATGATAAAAACCAAGGCAGAGAGAGTCTAAGTAAATTGCACAATGCCACATAGCTACTAACAGTCAAAGCAAGATTCAAAGTGAGCTCTGTCTGATATCAGAGCTCTCATCCATGCACTGTGGGAGAACCCACTGGGAGACAGTACTCGGGCAATGTGTTACCACGTCTTGTAGCATAGGCCTATCACTCTGGTAGCATCAGAGCAGCCAACAGAAACTGTAGTGGATCAAAATCACAACCTACCATCCAATTTATTGGAGGGTCTCCAATAGCCTCAGGAATCAGGCTGGATTTAGGAATGTGAGCCCCCCTTACTCACCAAATCAGCACTTTACAATTCATATGCTATGTACCTTCTATCTACTGCACCAAAGAAGTTCAGTTCTAAATTTCTAATGAAACTATCAGAATGATTAAAGAGAACCTCATGGCTGTCAGAAAAAATATCAAAAGTCAGTCCAATGCCTGAATTGACCTTGTTGACTCAGATATCCTCTCTTTTTACAGGGCGAAGAGCAAGTATTTGGCTATTGATTAATGTTACGTTACGATTGTTAGTGAGGCCAAACATTCAGACAGTTTTAATTGTCCAAACTCCTGGGCTAATTAATGCAATTTTGAAAGGGATTGGTCAGGACTCACAGTTTATGTTTTTATATACGTGTTTAGCATAGGTCTTGACAGAGAACATCCCAGTATATTAATTTAATATTCCCAGAGTTACTTATCAAAAGGCTGTACAATATGATGTTTTGCAAAATCAAAGTAGTTTATTATCTTGTCATCATCGAATTTTTTTCATTTATATTTCAGTTCACGGGGACATAAGCATATCAGTTACAAAACAACCCTATAATAACTAAATACAAAATAGCTACAAGGCTGTGTATATATTGTCCACTATGTCTAATATATTGCAGAGCTGAGTAACAAGACGATTTTCACAAAACACGTAAATGCTGATTATTCACATTACCTGATAGGAAGTTCCTTGTAGAGTTTTTCCTTGATGAGTATGTATGTTGTTACTTAGAAAATCATCTTCATTTAAATCTAAGAAAAGAGATAACTGTTACATACAGAATATCAGAAATTACATGATTTGGGAAGTTTAGGTGCAATGTAACACGCATGTTTTTATTTAGTCTGTAAGACATTACATTGGATAGGTCAAAAATATTTTTTTCTTAAATATATGCTTTTTTTTTTTTCTACAAGAAAAAGATCAAAATAAAATAGAAATTTAACAAAATAGGTATGCTGCTGACCATCTGTGTCCCTGAGGAAGTGATGGAAATTCACTGTGATTCCCTTTCTTGGTAATAATAGGATTGTGGACTAGCTACAAAAGCCACTTCTAACTTCAAAATGCTATGACTCCATGCAGTTATCACCTCACCTGTTTCTCTTAAACTAAGCCTTCCACCCCTGGCATTTTGAGCTTCATTAGCTTAGGTCTTCTCAACATGAATTATTTATGCTGAAATTGTTCTATGCATGCTTTAGTAAAAGCTTTGCAATGTAGCATCCATTTGCTTGCAGCTAAATGAAACCTTTTCAAATGTAGCAGCACTTCCCTTTTAGCTCCTGTAAATGGGAGCTTCATTTATTTAAGTCTGAAATACATGGTATGTTAAAAGAGGACAAGACTTTATGGGTCACTTAATCCAAGCCTCTTATTTTACAGATGAGGAAAGTGCGACCCAACATCACCTCGTCACCAGGCCAGTGACGTTTCCTTTCACTTTCACTCCTATTTACTTGCAACCATTGCTTCAGTTTTCTACTATTCCTCATTCTCATATTCTGCAGTGGAAGCGAGGGCAGGCAAGTCCTATCTTCCATGCACAGTGAAAAACAGGTACAGATTTTTCTCCAGATCTCCATCATAGCTATAGTTAAAAGATATGTTAAATTCACAGCTCAGTCTCAAAGTTACTTGCACCAATAACTTAGTATTTAAAACGAGACTAACCATACAACAGGATTCCAGAAAGTACCTAAATTTTAAAATGAGCTGATTTTGTGATCTGGTTCTTTGAATCAAGAATTTATGTCACAGGGTTAGGCTGCTAGAAGCTGAGTTTTTGCAGCTTGGTTTTTAGTTTCTGTATTGAGAAAAAGAAATATTGCCTCCCTTCTTTTATTCCTTCCCGTGTTGTCTCTTTTAGTCACCTTTTTACAGGAATTTTGAGTTACTCCTTCTATAGCCATTCTTCTGGGTATAGAAAAAGAACAGTAAAGTGGCTTCCTGTGTTCTAGAGTCTGGAATCAAGCTTAGAAAATAAGATACGAATATGTGCAATGCACTTACATAACAACACAAGGCAGAAAAATGAGTGATTCATACACAGTACGATGGAGAGAGATCACTACGACTCCGAGAACTTGTGGAAGAGACAGGGCCAGAATGGAAGCTTGAAGAATGGATACAGTTTGAGAAAGTGGAAGGAAAGGAAAAGGTGTAAATTTAGCAGTGATGCCATGAACCCTGGCCTATTATGCAGCATAAATGGAACATGTTTAATTAAGTGTAGAGATTGAGGCTGGTTAGGCCAGAGGGCGATTCTGGATACAGAGTAAGAGGAGGTAGGGCTGGATAGGTGACTGAGGCCCAACTGTAATGGGACCTGAGTACCAGGTGGAAGAATTTGGGCATAAACCATTAGATCAATGTTGTAAATATAAATATCTACAGGAATCAAATACATAACTAAATGAAGTTAATTCAATCAAGAAGGCAATGGGGATCCTACAGTGAGCTTAAGATGCAGCTCCCCAGCTACAGGGTAGCCATGGCTCTGAACTCTCTCAGTTAAAGTCACCCGAGACTTTGGGTCCTGGACTGGCACTTTCCCTCGTGTTTTTCAAGGGTATACAAACATATGGATTTTCATGTAAAATTTCCTGATTTTTAAAACATCATATGGCCCCACCAAGCTTTTCTTCTGAATAAATTCAGCTGTAGAGGTACCATTTCACAGGCCCTGCCGTAGAAAATGGGGAACCTTTAAGGGTTGGGACTAAATTAGGCAAATTTAAACCTTTGGTGTCTGGTCTTATACGTTTTTATTTATTTATGATTCCCAAATATTACCCTCCAAAAAGTGCTTTATAAAGACAGAATCTCTTTGGTCCTAAGTAGCAACAAAGGCAGAAGTTGAATTAGACAATATGTGGGCTGTATTTTCCACAGTTGGCCACAACCATGCCTTCCCATTCCATCAAGAAATTGAGTCTAATTCTTCTCCTGTTGACTCTGGGGTGATCTTAGTGACTCACTTGTCACAGTAGAGTGCAGTGGAAGTAATATTTTGTGATTTCCAAGGTAAGGTTAAAGAAGCCTTGCATAAGCCGGGGGCAGTGGAGTACCTACATCCCAGCTGCTTGGGAGGCTGAGGCAGAGGATTGCTTGAGGCCAGGAGTTTAAGATCAGCTTGGGCAACAGAGTCAGGCCTTGCCTCAAAAAGCAAAAAACAAACAAACAAAATTACAAAACAAGAAACCGTGCAGCTTCTACTTTGGGCTGTTGGGATCTTCATTCCTAGACACTTCTACCTGTGATGTGTGAAGCTCCCTTGCATGTTGCACACACTTGAAACCCAACCCTGAGGCTGGGAGAAGCTGGAGCGACATGAAAAGGCCACATATAGGTTCTTTAGTTGGCTGCCCAGCTGAGCCGAGCCTAAGCTAGACTAGTTGTCAGACATGTAAGTGAAGAAGCCTCTATATGACTCCAGCTACCAGATGTTTAAGTCCTCCCCAGTCATTCAAGTCTTCCCAAATGAAGCCTCTGACATCACATTGGGGACCAGTTCCCCAACTGAATTACTGACCTGCAAATGTATGAGCCTAATAAGATGTTCTGTTATACTACTAACTATTGGAATGGTTTGTTTGCTGCAATAGATTATCAGAACATTCAAGAACTACATCGTAGATTACCAACATCAATGTGCTTAAAAATATGCCATCCAGCATAAAAATTGAGATTACAACTGCCCTTCAAATACAGAGGCAGTAAAAGGAATAAAAGGAATGTAAAAAAAAGTTTTTGTTTTTAATCAGTTTTTAGGTTTTCTAACATAGATACTTCTGACTATATTACTTTTCAAACAGGCAACTCTAATCTCAGTAAGAACTCCTCTAAAGAATTAAAGGATCTGAAGATTCATTTGAATAAAACACTAGAAGTCTAAGTGGTCTCATCATTGAATTCAGAAAGCCTTCCTTGGATATATGAGGCATCAAACCATGCAGTGGGTACCCTTTCCTCAGGGACTTTATTCCCACCTTGTAAGCAAGCATTTAGAGGTGTGAAGTAGGATTTCCCTCTGGTGTTCCTCATGTAGTCCAGTTTGGCCAAAGTTAAATTACCTGCCCTTGAGAAACACGTTTTTCTAAAATTAAATGTGTGTTTCCTGAAAATTAACCAGAATGGTGAATATATTTGTGAATTTATACCATCTTTTGCCATCTTAAAATTAAGCTACTTGGCCTCAGGCCGATGAAGAAAAATAATTAATAAGATCTTGAAAAATTAAGCCAAAATATTTATAAGCTTACATTGAAGAGGCTGGACAAATAATGATATTGACCAGAAGTCAGGAGAGAAATTAGGTTTCAAACCAATGGTAACTGAAATGGTGGACTAGAGTAGAAATCCTTAAGAACACCTCTTCTTTCCCTCTGGGTTCCTCCTTTTATAATTAATCTCATCAAAGCCACATGTAAAGAAGATTTATTTTTAAAGTAAGTTTGCAGCAGTATAGGTGAAGTTAATGTTTCTCTTATTACTAACATTGTTTTCTGACTTTGTCTGGTCCCTCACTTCCCTTAGTAATATATGCAATTTTTCCCCACTTTTTCTTGTAGAATAGTCTGTCACAGTTACACTGATTGATTGAAAAATTTCTGAATCTCCAAGTAAGTTTTGTTTCCTTTTTATTATTTTTTAAAAGTTGATTTATTTTTATTCTTTGTACTTTCTGGTATAAAATATGAAAATCCTATTCTTGAAATTATCTTTAATTAAATCATAACTTAATCTTAGGTAAACTCCAATTCACAGATTCAAAAGTTTGTTCTTCTCAATTCTTTTTAGTAAAGTCGAATAAATTTAAATATTTTTAAATGGACTCTAACTTACTAAAATAAATATTACAAATATTTTTCCTATTTATAATGCCAAAAATTTAACAATTAACCTGAATTATAGATTAATTTCTCCTCACACCTAAGCTATGCCAATTTTTTAGTTGTAAAGTCCTAAGCACTCAATTTATTCTACATTATTTTACAGATGTAGTCTCTTTTAATAGAACAGATGTAGGCTTAGATAAAAATCTCCTTAGAAGAAGGAAATGGACTAGATAAATTAAAAATATTATGCATCTGGAACTCAACTTATTCTGACAAATTTGGCCTTAACCTATATAGTACAGTCACGTTGTTGAGCTATGGATTAATATACCAGACACAAATCTTAGCTAAATATAGCCTGTGGAATCTTTTCATCAGGTCCCAATATTCTTTAGGGCTGAAATGCTATTAATATAATGTGTTAATGTCAAAATATCATTTTGAAATTGAAATTGAGGAAAATTGCCCCTTTTTTGGCCTTGAATTTTATACGATTGCTTAGGACTTAATGTCACTCCTACAGTTTATTTCCCTATATATTTTCTTCTAGTTTATTGAAGCTATCTTTACAATTTCATCATTAGTATCTAGTAAAATCATGTGGGCTGTGGATGACAACAATGATGGACTTTCCCATCTTCATCTCACTGAACTCCACAGACTGTCTACCCTCAGGCACAGTAAACTAACCCTAAGTAATTATGCAATTAACAGCTAAAAACGAGTGTTTAAAATGAGAAAGAAATATTTTAGGTTGATACGTAGGTCACTAATTACTTAGAAATACTCTGAACCTTCCAAATGAAACCACTATACCCATAAAATTAGAGCCTACAACTTGTGGCCTTGAATTTCTCCCTTCAATTTATAATGTTACAGACAGCCTTGGTCTCTGGCCATCAACTCTTCCTAGTATGGCATTAATCTCTAGGAAATGTCCAGTGACTCAACTGCTGTACTGAAATGTCTGCTGAGGTTCTTGGACACACACACATGCACACGCACTCGCTGAACACACACGGTCACTCAAGACCCTGAGAAATATCAAAGCTGGGAAAAATTCTGTAAAGGCTTTCTTTCTTCCTTCGCTGACAAAGCAACCAGAAGTAACTCACCTAAGGCCAGGATTCTTTGCTGCTTTTTCAGTGTAGCTATAATAGGATTCCCTGCCTTTTATTCCCAAACTAACAAAACAAAACAAAAAACGTACATAAGAGAAAGGTAGTTTTAGGAAATAGAATACTTGAAGAAATTTATGGAAAAATTTGTATCTACAATATTCTTTAACACCGTTATACCTTCTTTATCCATAGATCAATATACAATAATCTAAAATAAAACAGGTGCTTCTAGAAGGATTAATAGATAAACGGAATGGTGGATGACTAGAGAAACTGATAGACGAGTGTTTGATTAACTGACTGAAGGTGTGGATGCATATAGCTGGCATCCGTGTGGTAAAGACAGAGTACAATCCAAACATGATAGAGAGGGAGGTGGAGCAAGGTGACTGAACAGAACCCAAAGTAATCATCCCTCTCACAGGAATACCAACTTGAATAGCTCTTCACACAAGAGGGCACCTCCATAAGTAAGTAAAAATCGAGTGAGTGATCACAATACCTGGTTCTAACATCATATCCTTGAAAGAGGTACTAAAAAAGTAGGAAAGGCAGTTTGGGATTGCTGACTCCACCGCCCTCCTCTATCCCTGGTGGCATCCTCATGGTGCTGAGAGAGAATCTTTGTGCATGGGGAAGGGAGAGCCAAGTTATTGTGGGACTTTGCATTGACCTCAGTGCTGTCTCTCACAGTGGAAAGCAACACAGGGCAAAATTCAGTTATCTACTGCAGGGGGAGCATATAGACTCGCCCCCAAATTCTGACTAGCCCCTCCAGAGTGGGCTGAAGCACTTTAGGGTCCTAAGTAAACTTGAAAGGCAGTCCAGACCACAGGACCTGAAATTCCTGGGCAAGTCCTGGTGCTGTGCTAGGCTCAAAGCCAGCGGAACTGAGGTACACATGATCCAGTAAGACATCGGTAGGGATGGCCAAAGGAATGCTTTCATCACCCCTTTCCCAATCCCAGGCAACACAGCTTGCAGCCCCAGGAAAGACTCCTTCCTTCCGCATAAAGAGAAGACACAGGAGAGTAAAAAGGACTTTGTCTTGCAACCATAGAATAGAGCACTAGGCAGACCCCTAAGGTTCCCAATCCATTCTTCACTCCCAGGTGAAATTTCTAGACTCTTGAATCATCAACAGCTAATATAATCAATTGTTTTTGTCATTCCGATAACCCTTGGGGGTGAATACCAAGCAGATCAACTTTTGATACTGTTTTTCATCTTTGTAAACTCTTAAGACTTTCTGTTTTATTATTGTCTTCCCAAAGTTAAGTAATTTTAATTATGAAATCACTTACTATTAATATGTTATTCTACACCTGACTACTAATTTACTCTCCTGGAGATTTTTAAATTATAAAAAGACCTAATTATATATTCATAATCAAGGTTATTTCTCTTACATTTTTTAAGAAGACCTAAACATAACTATTAACATATCGATGTTATCTTTAGAGTTTATTTGTGCTCTAATTTTTATTTTATTTTTTATTTATTTATTTTTTGAGACGGAGTCTCTCTCTGTCGCCCAGGCTGGAGTGCAGTGGCCGGATCTCAGCTCTCTGCAAGCTCTGCCTCCCCGGTTCACGCCATTCTCTTGCCTCAGCCTCCCGAGTAGCTGGGACTACAGGCGCCCGCTACCTCGCCCGGCTAGTTTTTTGTATTTTTTAGTAGAGATGGGGTTTCATTGTGTTCGCCAGGATGGTCTCGATCTCCTGACCTCGTGATTCACCCATCTCGGCCTCCCAAAGTGCTGGGATTGCAGGCTTGAACCACCGCGCCCAGCCTAATTTTTAATGTATTTTCAAATTCTTTTGTACATTAAAACTTTCAGTTTTCTTTTCAATTGCTTATTTGCTTCAGCAGGCAACTTAACTAGATCCCACTTCCTTTCTGTACATGTGTCTGTGTGATGTTTATACACATATGTATATGTATACATGTATATATTAATAGTTTATAATAATGCATATTCTATTCTATCTTATTTGGTTTTCCTTTTTAAGTAGACCAGAATATTCCACTTATTTTCATGGTGAAAGATGTAAATTTTTCTTACCTGCCCTTTAAACTACTTTGGGAAAATGCAAAGTCAGCTGAACTAAATATAGCAATTACCTTTTAGCTGACAGGGCCTTCTGATGTGGGAATCATTCTTATGCTTGCTGTGTTCCTGCCAGATTTTGTCATTCACAGTATTTCCTTCTAAAGCGAAGCAGAGAATTAGTTAGAATTCACAGTAACATTTGTCCAGTAAGTATAAGACATTTGAAATCAAAACAAGTTCAGCACGGGGCTTGTAACTTGGTAAGTGATATCTTAAGAGAGCTCTAGTTCTAGGGAGTTCTAGTCCCTCATGGACAACTGCAGGTATCCTGTGGGCTACCCACTTATTCCCATGAACTACATAGGCACCTCACCATATATGATAGAATGCTGTTACTCTAATGTCTCTTGACAGTTTATGATTGCATTATTCTTTGTAGTAGTTTTCTTGAATTCATAACCAATTATTATTATTATTACTTTTTTGAGACAGGGTCTTACGGTCTTACTCTGTTGCCCAGGTTGGAGTACATGGTGTGATCATAGCTCATTGCAGCCTCAAATTCCTGGGCCATAGCTATCCTCCTGCCTCAATTTCCCAAGTAGCTGAAACTACAGGCATGTGCCACCATGATAGACATATATATATATATATATATATATATGGTAGAGACAGGGTCATAATCAATTGTTTTTATGCATGCTTAAAAGGTTAAAGTATTCTTATCCTCAAGATTCCCCATCATTTCTAACAAATTAATTGTGTAGAAAGAACACTGAGCTGTGATGGTTTCAAGAAACTCTAAGATCCTTAAATGGAAGGTCAATGATTTGCTCAAGTTTGTCCTCCCAACATCTAAAGCATGGCCTGGACATGTGAAGAAATGAATTGCACCAAATGGAAAATTGGAGTCCCTTCTAAATTACTTACTACAGATAAATCATTCTACATGTTCTATCCTACATTGATAAAACAAATGTTAAATAATGCCACCAATGGTAGCGTGAAGACAAACTCAGCATGCTGTGTTGTTTCTAAAGTCACTATTTGCTCATATGTTTTGATTATAGAAAAGGCAGTTGATCATCAAGAATTGTGTTAGGATAGAAATATTGGTTGTATCGTATGTACGTGCTGAATAGACTGAGAATGGATCTAGATGAAAAAGAAAATTTTGCCTTACTTCCTTTTATTTAAGACTATGCGCTATTCAAATCAGGGCTGATATTCAAAATATTTATCAGCAAGTTACTGCAGGACCCTGATAGGATCCAGCACCTGTAGATGTTACTGCTGGGAGAATTGAAACCTGATTAAAACGCAGATATCCTTCAAAGTTGTACCCATTGTGGGGTATCACCTTAGTCACAATGAGCTTTTCAGATCCTACCAGAAAATTGGTTTTTTAAAAAGAAGGAAATGGGTATTAGCACCCGACTCCTCTGCTGGGGAGAAGGAAAGGGAAAAGGGTACCCACAAGTTTGGCACATTACATTAAAAGAAATTATTGAGGCCCAGTGTGGTGGCTCACGCCTGTAATCCCAGCACTTTGGGAGGCCGAGGCGGGCGGATCACGAGGTCAAGAGATGGAGACCATCCTGGCAAACATGGTGAAACTCCATCTCTACTAAGAATACAAAAACTAGCTGGGCGTGGTGACACGCACCTGTAGTCCCAGCTACTCTGGGAGCTGAGGCAGGAGAATCGCTTGAATCCGGGAGGCAGAGGTGGCAGTGAGCCCAGATCGCACCACTGCACTCCAGCCTGGCAACAGAGCAAGACTCCGTCTTAAAAATAAATAAATAAATACAATTATTGACTGGATGACCCAGATGTTTCACCATTGTGAATGTTTTATAATTACTGACTCCCTATTTGCTGTAAAGTAACAAGAGAGATAATCTATTAACTTTCTAAAAGTAATGAATAGAAATCGATGTTTACTTTAGAATTAAAATACAAACCAAACGGATTGCATGTGTTATTACTATGAATGCTATCACAAAAACTAAAGAGAAGATTTGGTGTGTGAAATGTTGTAGAAGAGACTTTTATAATAAAACCACTTTCTGCTAATTTTTTATTGTCTCCTAGATTCACAGATCTAAAAAGATCTCTAACAAGTCACCTTGGCCATGCAGCAGCCAAGCTACACATGGAGAGCCGGAAGATGATCAGCCAATGAACTACCAAAGAGGATTATTCTGTTTAAATATAACAGGAAATTATTGCAAATAAATCAATGAGTTCTTTGTCATAGCCATTTAAAGTTAGAATGAAGCCACTTTTAAAAAAATGTTCTTCTATATAACTCAAAGACAACTCAATTTGACTTTCATTAATCAGTTTTGTTGCTTTATGGCAGGAGCAGGAGAAAAGAACTTTTGGGGAGACAGAATACATATTTACACTTGTAACTTTGGGAATCACTAACCAAATATTTTATTTTCAGACATAAATCTCCGGAATAACCTGGAAGAATAAAAGAAACAATATTTAAGTCTAGATTTAATAAATAACATCTTAATCAAACAGAAATTAGAATGTGTGCAACACTTTGGGAGCAGGAATGAATTCTACCTCTAACTAAGATCTACCTATGATCTTGAATCTTCCTAAACCTAGGTGGCAAATTACAGTAAATACAAGTATAATTTGGGTCTATAAATTTCTATGCTATATGGAGGGACCGATATTCATAAAACCTGAACAAAATGGTAAGTCATTTTACATGAAAGTATCTCAGGATAACCAAATAGTTACTGGGGGGGAAGTGCTTTTCCAAATAATTATGTTACTAAATACAGAAAGAATGATGTAAATTGAATATAACCATTATGCAATCTCTAATAAAATAACAGATCTGGAAAATAATCACCAATTACTGATAAAGCCTAATTGAAAGGCTGATGGGCAACTTCATGCCGAATGGCTCCACCTGATACCATCTGAACCCACTGAGCAATATCACTGTCATAAAAATATGATCGTGCAATCAATTCATGTGTGTGGGTGAAAACACACATATCTCATAACTGACATTGTTATAGCTTAAGTGTTTTCGACTATTGATATTCTTCATTGTCATTAAATTAAAACCGAGGTTACCCTTTTTTTAAGCTCGAAATTGTGAACAAAAACATGCATAGATAAGATTTCCTTTTTCTTAATTTTTTTTTCCTTTTAATTTTTTTAATGCAAAATGGTTAGGACATCTCTTGGCACATAGCAAACAATTCCAAACAAATAAGCTATTTATAATATTGTAAAGTGAGGTAGGTAAATAACAGCAAGACTAGACATATAGCTTACAACACAACAAAAGAGAAAGTATGCAGTCACTCAAGACCAACTTTTAAATATACATATAAATATATATATATTTGGACCTTTTCATACTTTATATATATTTGAATCTTATCACACTTTGGGATTTAACTAAAAGTTTACAGGAAACATAGAGTAGAGACAAACATGCTTAAAAAAACACAAGGATTCAATCAGCAAAATTCAAAAATCTGGGAAATTCTTCAGGACACAGACTCCAGTTTCTTCAACAAATAAATGAAAAGACACAAATGAAGGGACATGAACTGAATCCAGCTGAGCTTTTTGGATCCTGATTTAAACAAACCAACTCTGAAAAAGCATTCGAGTCTGTCAGAAATAGTTCAATATTGACTATATATTTGGCAATATAATGTCATTTGTCTTGTTTTGTTCTAGTGCAGTAATGGTATTGTGATTATGCTTTTCAAAAAATAATTCTTATTTTTTAATAATATACACTGAAGCATGAAATTATGTGTCTGGCACCTGCTTTATTAATACAAAAACAGTGGGGATGCAGTTGGGGGAGTAGAATGGGTAGAAATGAAATTGACTATAGGTTGATCCTTGTTCAAGTTTGGTGATATGAGTTTATCATTAACTCTTCCTCTATGTATGATTGAAAATTTCCATAATGTTTTGAAACAGAAACAGAGGATAGGATTAAGCTGACTGGACCGTGCTAATCAGTTCATGGGTGAGGGTAAACATGCACACATCTCATCACTCACTGTTACAGCTTAAGAGTTTTCCACTATTCATATATTTGATAGCCATGTACTCACTTCGGCAACACAGATACATATTCTTGACAGTCATTAAATTAAAACGAAGGTTATCCTTTTTAAGCTCAAAATTGTAAGCAAAAACATGCATATATAAGGTTTCCTTTTTCTTAATCTTTTGTTTGTTTTTAATTTTTTAATGCAAAATGCTTAGGACATCTCTTGGCATGTAGCAAGAATTCCAAACAAATAAATCTGTTTGTAATACTGTAAAGTGAGGTAGGTGTATAACAACATGAGACATCATTTCCATCAGGAGAGTGGTGGGCAAAAAAAACACAAACAAACAAAAAAACTAAGGAACTCAATGGAGACTTCAATTTTATTTTAATTGCTTGGAATCTGAGGCGCACCTTCACTGATCTGGTTTATGTTAGAAAAATTGTAAATTGGTCAGCATCAGACACTTTCCCTTTAATTCAATCCTCCTGTCATCTATATTTTGGTAGCCTGTATTCTGTGGAAGCATCAATCACAAGCCAACAGCTACTATTTTGTTTAAGTACGTGCCTTGGAATTAGTGAATTTCTTATTCATGGTCAGAATAAACAGCCTCACATACGTGGCGATAAGACTGAGAAAGGTCCTCCCGAAATCCCTTCTTTACTCCACCTCATGCTTAAAATGCCAGTGTTGTAGTTTAAATAGTTAATTGTAACTAAAATACAACTACGCCACCCTGACAGGTCTTTAAGCTGTTAATCACCCAATTACCTACTTACTATGGATGTGTTTTATATTTTTAACTGGGAGAAAGCTTT